AATAAACTTCGCAATTTTATAAGATGACAGCTTTCTGGAATAAGCAATGTTATTTCAGGATTTAGTCGAAAAATAAGTTGATTTTATCCGACCCATAAACGAAAGGAGACTGCGACCACACAAAAGGCCACACCATCTTGGTCTTCATACCTTCCATAAATATTTTGTTTACTTTCTTTCTACACCCTTCTAAGAGCGATGAGCATTTTAGTCAGCATTTGGAGTGTAGCAGTCAGGGATTTTTACTTTTTTTATGCCACACTATGCTGTCGGTTAAAAAAGTGTCCCAAAAGATTCGTTTTTCTTTTGTTTTCAGATTGTTGGCAGGAAAAGAGAACATAGAGCTGTCGTTGGCTCGTCCACTTTCCTCCACACCCTCGCCTCCCGGCCGGTTGCAGATCTACTGGCCTGAGGCCAGCCTGCCACAGCCAGCCGCATTCACACTCTTCCCGAATACCAGTTTGTCTCTTCATCAGTTGATAGGCTGTGAGCACCACAGCTGTGTGGAGGCAGTTACGATGATTGCCGGGAATGCAAGAAGTGGAGGAGGGCGTCAGTTTGGAGGAGCCTCGACGATCCGTTTGATGCGTGCCAGTCGAGAGCTGAGCCAGCTGGCCCGGAGTCACATGAGACTTCATATTGCGGTACCACTACCGACGACTACTGACGGCCGACCAGTTACGGCTAACTTTGCCCGACCTGATGAGGATGCTTTCAGTGATTCAGGCCAGAGTCTATCACGACTGTCCAAGACCCGGCATGTTGGAGTGGACGAGACGAGGAGGCAGGAAAAGTACAGCGGCCAGCTGAATATTCACCGGTCCCAAAGGGGCCAAGCTGAGAGTTCTGGAGTGGACACCTACGAATCAGCTTTGGACAACTATACTGTGAATTTGCAGAGCCCAGATGGCTCGAGTAGAGATAACGAGCAGGTTTTTCTGACCCCCGAGGGCAATTGCTTGACCGACTTTCAGCGGAGAACGGTGGAACAACAGCAGAGGTCTGAGGTATCGAGTGGACAGGAGCATAGAAGAGGGGAGGAGAGGCCATCCTCGGCCATGTATAATCAATACAAGCAAAGTGAAAAAGAGGATAGTGATGAGATGGAGAGTGTGAACTTGGAAGAATTTAATGATGTAATTCAGCATATTGGAATAATGTATTAGCCTGAACATATAACTTTATCTAAAGGCATACGTATTTAGCAGTGTCTCGAAAATATAAGTAGATCTTGTCGTGCAAGCCTTGGTTTTAAACCCTGGGCTCCAGGTATGAAGCCAACTTAGAGTAGCAATCAATGACTCAGAATATTAAGCCTGCTTCTTTGGTTAGCTTGCTTTCGAGAGTACATAAACTTCCAATATTCAGACTTGCCTAAAGGGCATACAACCAAATTGTAACCTTCAATTTACAGTGTTTAACATTGCTGTATAATGCAAACTTATTATTGAACGCATAAAAATCTTTAAAATAAGAAATTCTTCCAAAAGAAGCGTCGAAGTAAGCTTGGCTTACTTTGACTAGTTACTTTGGGAATCTATAGAAAGTATATATGAGGTGTAGTGACCATATTTCGCTTAAGCTAATAAGAGGACTGGTAGTTTAGTCTTCCAAACAATAATATGAGTAAATTTTGCGTTTCAATCAAATTGCACACAGTCTCACTTTCCTCAAAAGTGTTCTTATCCAGGGTTGACTGCAGTTTTGACCTGCCTAGGTCTCGAACCATGACAGTGCAGCGTATAATCTAAACATGTTAACCATTACGCCGCATGGCCAAGAGTGCTTTCGGATCACAGGGCAGATGTAAATATCAAGGAGGGGCAGGAATTTTTCCCATATCAAATTCTGTGATGAGATTGTCGACTAAGCAAAGGTGGGAAAGGCTATAGCTATCGAGTGTATTGCGTATGTCTCATAACTAGGTTTTCTTGAATACTATATATCATATATGAGGTTTATTCAACCTGTTTTGTTTAATTTGACAAGGGGACTGTTGGTTGAATTTTCCCACAATTATATGAATAGACCTTACGTTTCCATTGAATTTCACGAGCCCTTGTTTCCCTAAGGGTATTTCCATCCAGGCTGGACTGCAGTTTCGACCTTGCCTCCACATCCCTCTGCACCGTCGATGGGATTACGGGTGAATTCTCTTCTCTGTACTTTTAGCTCACTCTTTCTCTCTCGCATTGAGACCAAAAACAACCAAACCAGACGAGTGTCCG